TAATAATAATAATAATAATAATAATAATAATAATAATAATAATAATATCTTGGCCAGGGTAGTTAAGCAGTCCAGGTTCCCTCCGTTGAGTGAACTCCTTTTTGCTTTCTCCTTCCCCTGAATCCGGCCCAGAAAATTCCTAATAGCCAATCCTTTCCTGGGCTGGGGCTGATGGGACTTGGACTCCAGCTCCTTTGGGGAGGGAGGCAGAAAGGGGAGGGGTAGAGAAGGGTGGGGAGGGAGAACGAGCCGAGAGCGAAATGCAAAACGAGAGAAGAGAGCCACGAACTTGAAAGGCGTTGGCAGGGCCAAAATGGGGCAAAGGACTCTATCCCCCATCATCCTGTCTTGGAAGGTGAGGTTTTTAACAGCCCCCCCCTCCCCTCCCCAGACTATAAAGAGTGGGGGGAGGGAATTTCCATCTGCCCAGGACAAAACGGGTTCCATTGTCCTGCAAAATTTGACCTGCTGCTTTCATTCTCTTTAATATTTGCGCCTTTGCAAAATTTTCAGGCCTGATTCCGGCCTGCACGGCAGCAAAGGAGGGTTATTCTGTCTTTCTTTCTTTTTTATGGGTTTTGTAATCCAGGGAAATGGGGATTTTAAAAAGCCCTTCCTTATAGGGTCCCCCCTCTAAGTCTTGGGATGAAAGGGCCATGGATCAATTTTGTGTGAATTTCAGCCTCTTCTTTTTATTTTTTTTAATTTTTTTTACCCCTTTTGGAAAGAAACAACAGGATGAAGATGAAAACTTTTTGTCCTGTTGTTATTGTTGTTGTTATACAATGCAAACCTTCCATTGATTTACCATCAAAGTGTGGCTGTATCGCCAGAGGGAGAATGATTTATTTATAAGCCAAGCAGCGTTTGCCAAAATAAACAAAAAACACTCAGGCTAAGAGGAAGGTGGAAGAGGCGAAAGGGAGACAGGATGGCTCGCATGGTAAAGCAGAATTTTGTCCCTTCAAAATACCACCACCACCCCCAAAAAAAAATGCAAAGAAGAAGCGGAGGGGAAAACGTGCAAAATTCAAAATAAATAAATTGCAAAGAGGAAGCAGAGGGGAAAATGTGCAAAGATAAAAATAAAAAAATTGCAAAGAGGAAGAGGAGGGGAAAAACGTGCAAAGATAAGAATAAAAAAATTGCAAAAAAGGAAGGGGAGGGAAAAACGTGCAAAATTCAAAATAAATAAATTGCCAAAAAAAAGGAAGCGGAAGGGAAAATGTGCAAAGATAAAAATAAAAATAAAAATTGCAAAGGATGAGCTGGTGGTGACTTTTCCTTTTTCTTTTTTTTTGGGTGGGGGGGTTGTTCCCGCTTCTCTGTCCGCACCCGCAGAGCCCACACGCCATCGTCCTGGTGATTCTCTTCGCCTTGTTTATGCTGCTGATCATTTACAATTCCAACAGCCGCAACGAAGCCCTCCGCTACTCCGCTTTGCAGGCCAAGACCCCGCTGCCCTCCAGCCTCAAGAAGTGGGGGGTGAAAGGCGAATACCTGCCTGTTCCCGGAGGGAAGGTAAGAGGGAGGGATGTTGGGGTGGGTGGGGTCTCTCCTCTTGGGGCTGGGGGTTGTCCCCCTTCCCCATCGTGGGCAAGGGGCCATCTCTGGCTGGTTGGCTTGAAGGCACGTCCCAGGCTCTAGCAAAGGCAGAGGGATTTTTCTGTGCAGAGTGTGTCAAGATGCAAACTCGACGAATTTGTCCAGGTTCTGGGTTTCCACAGGGAAGGATGGTGGTTTTTGTATTACGGGGTAGTTTTCAGAAAGGGGCTTCCAAAATCTGGATTTTGAAGGGATCAGAGGGCCAAATCCCCCTCCTTCTCTTTCTCCTTCTCTTCTCCTTCTCCTCCTCCGCTTTCTTCTCATTTCCCTCCATCTTCTCTTTCTTCTCCTCCTCCTCTTCCTTAACTCCTCCTCCTTCTCCCTTTTCATGACTCCTCTTTCTCTATCTTCTCCTTCTCGCTCTCCTCCTTTTCTCTTCCTCCCCTTTCTACCATTCCTCTTTCTTCTCCTTCTCCTTTTCTCTTCTTCTTTCTATCCTCTCACCATTCCTCTTCCCTCTTCTGTCTTCTTTCTTCCTTACCTCCCTTTTCTCTTTCCCCAATTCTTCCTCCCGCTCCTTCTTCCTCTCCACCTCCTTCTGCATTTTCCTCTTCCTCTTCTACTCCTCCTTCTCCCTCCCCCTCTTCTTCAACTCCTCCTTCCCCCTGTTCATCTTCGTCCACTTCTCCTTCTCCTCCTCCTTTCCCCACTCTCTCGTCTCTTTCTCCCTACTTCTCCCGGATCGTCTTAAGCCAAACCACCTTCTCCCGGTCGCTCCAACCGAGTTGCTTTCCATCCTAGCCCTTAGTTCAGCATTGCAAGCAGTGTGCCCTCATCACCAGTTCCAGTCACCTCCTGGGCAGCAAACTGGGCAAAACCATCGACCAGTCGGAATGCACCATCCGCATGAATGACGCGCCCACCACGGGCTTCTCGGAGGACGTCGGGAACAAGACCACTTTCCGCGTCGTGGCTCACTCCAGCGCCTTCCGGGTCCTGAAGAGGCCGCAGGAATTCATCAGCAAGACCCCGGAGAACATCTTGATTTTCTGGGGTCCTCCGCTCAAGATGCAGAAGAGCATCATCAAACTCATCGAACGAGTCAGCCTCAGTTTTCCCAACATGACGGCCTTCGCGGTTTCTCCCAAGCGCATGCAACAGTTTGACGAATTGTTCCGGAAAGAGACGGGCAAGGACAGGTGAGTCCATTAGGATGGGAGGAAGGCAGGGGTTTGGGGGTTTTTTTGCATCCCAAACTGAGAACCTGTGGAACTCCCCACCTCAAGATGGTCACAAAGAGAGAGAGAGAGAGAGAGAGAGAGAGAGAATGTTCTGTTCAGAGTATTGGAGCGTAAGTTCAGCACCAGAAAAGTAAACACAGATGGCTGAGGCTTTGTTTAACTTCTTTATAAACCTATAAAGTAAATTTTTACAATACCAGTTGTAGATTTCTCCAACATGGAGCCAACTCAAACAGAAGCAGATATGTTACAGCTTCGGAGCTTAACAGCAACTCAAGAGCTCAGAAAACAGACATCAGTTTCACTTTAGTTCACCAGGCAAGCAAGTTAGTTTCTCTTTCACTTTAGAGCTGAGCACAGAACAGAGATAAACCATGCGCAGATTCTCTAAGTTTCAGCCCTCAATCCAGCTCTCATTGGCTGACTTTGTTCCTAAGCTCTATTCCTGTTCATGAATACACTCTGACATGTTCTGACCCAGCCTTAGCAGAAGCAAGACTCCTAGTCACAAAAAACCCTCTTTATTTATCTCTTGTGAATTAACACAGCAAGGTTCTGTGCGCAAACGCCCTTTCTATCCTGTTTCCCCAGCTGCAGCTAATGAAGGGAATCAGGCCCCTTTTCTCCCCCATAACCCATGTTGCTCCCTTATCCGTTCCTCCCTGAGTGCCCGAGGATGAAGACGGGGTGGGCCTGGGTCTTCCTCTGAATGCCCAGCCGGACTGTGCCCTTCCCCAGTTTCTACCACAGCCACCAGAGCCACACTCCCACTTCCTGTCAGCTGTTCATCCTCCCCCTCGGAATCAGATTCCAACAGGGGCAGGACACCTTGGTTTCCACAATTATTAAGTGAGTCACTGCAGGAAACTTCCCTATTTTAAGTCAGAAGGTTGCAAAAGGACATCACACAACCCTGGGACACCGCCACCGTCATAAATACGAGTCAGAGGTCAAACCTCTGAATTTTGATCACGTGACCATAGGGATGCTGCCTCGTAAGTGTGAAAAACCATCATAAGTCCCCTTTTTCAGTGCCGTCATAACTTCAAACGGTCACTAAACACACTGTTGTAAGTCAAGGACCAGATGGATGGTCTCTAAGCCAGCACAGGGGAATTCTGGGAGGTGTAGTCCACACATCCTTAAACTGCTGGCTAGCCACATTGCGCATTGGCGGAAGCCCCTGCGTTTCATTCTTCTGCCGTTGCACAACCCAAAAGGACATTTCCGAAACATTTTCTTTCTTTTTCTGCTGGAAATTTCAAAAGTATTTTCTTTTTTGGCTGGAAATTTCATAAACTCTTTCTTTCTTTTTCTGTTGGAAATCTCAAAAGTATTTTCTTTTTCGGCTGGAAATTTCATAAACTCTTTCTTTCTTTTTCTGCTGTAAATCTCAAAAGGATTTTCTTTTTTTGGCTGGACATTTCAAAACTGTTTTATTTTAATTTTGGGGGATGGAAATTTCAAAAGTTATAAAGTCCTTTCTTTCTTTTTCTGCTGGAAATCTCGAAAAACATTTTCTTTCTTTTTCGGTTGGAAATTTCCGAAACATTTCCTTTCTTTTTCTGTTTGTTCTCTGCCCACCCCAGGCAGACTTCACGGTCCTGGCTGAGCACCGGATGGTTTACCATGGTGATTGCGGTGGAATTGTGCGACAAACTCCATGTTTACGGGATGGTGCCTCCCAGCTACTGCACGTAAGTAGCCCCTCGCCTGGCTTGCAAGCCTGGGGGTGGGCGGGGCCCACCTTCTCGACCTCACCTGCCTTTTCTCCTCCTGGCAGTAAGACCCCTCCCCACCGACTGCCCTACCACTATTACGAGCCCAAAGGACCCGACGAATGCACCACTTATATCCACAACGAGCGCAGCCACAAAGGGAATCATCACCGGTTCATCACCGAGAAACGGGTTTTCGGCAGATGGGCCAACCTCTACAACATCACTTTCTCGCACCCCGAGTGGAAATAGGGCAACGAGGAGACACACACACCCCCCACAAGTGCCAAAACCAGGATCCTGCGGAGCCCCCCCCTACCCCCCCCAAATGGTCCTGGACTGCTGAGTATTAAGTTTCCCATTGTGCCATAGAGAAGCACCCTGGGGCATTGTGGGAAATTAGAAGTCCAGTGAGCTCACAGCTGGATGGAAAGCCAACTCAGCCTCTTGCAAGGTTACTTCTAGG